CCACAACTGTTTTCAGACCAGGCCTCTAAAATCCATACCCGATTTCAGACCTGGTCTCTAAGAAATTATGTCATCATAACTGAGATTAGAATGTCAAATAAGAGATTGCTTTAAATCCTCTTTCTACATAACTCGTTCTTTCTCAGTATTCATGTGAAACTGAAACGACAAATACGTTTATACACTCCCGTAGTTCCCTCGAAAAGCCTACCCGATTCCAGACGAAGAGGGGCAAAATGTATACCCGTTTTCAGACCAAAACGGCCCAAAAATCTTTCTTTGGGGCAGCACATACTACCGGCTTATATAAGGGAGTACCCCCCCGTCCCCGTGAGTTTGTGCCACGAAGTGTACCCATTGTTTTTCTCCTGACCGTAAATCGGATATGTCTGGCTGTCACATTATTATTTGCTCCGAAACAGGTGTATATTTTCCTGTTTCGCGGTAAAATACAATTGTTAAAACACGGAGAATTCACCTTGGGTGATAGCGATATGATCTTAATTATTATGACCTCTCTTTTAAATATTTAGGTTAGAAAGGGAAATGTGATTCTTATCGCTCATGAACAAGGCAAGGCCAGCTAACGAAAATGAAACTACTTTTGCTTCACTCAACTTCACTCCGTGGGTAGATCGACTGTCACATGCTGCACACGTGAAGTCCGTTCACATAGGTCAGCGTAGGAAATTTTTCAAACTATCATGCATGATCCCGAAGCTTGTCGAACATTCTCGAAATTCTCCATTATTCCTTAAAGAACAAGTGCGTCTTTTGCCCGGCAGCCGGGAAGGATCTCAAAAAAGTAATTATAATAAACATAAATTAAAAATTAATAATCTACCTGGAGTTTTGAAAACCGGGTTGCTTGAAATCTTAAGTCAAGTCCAGCACATTGCAGGCAATCTTTCAAAACTTAATTTGCTTAAAGCCCTGATACTTTTAGTGTAAAAATAACAATCTCCCTCTTCAGGACTAACCACCCTCAGCTCTTAACCATGGGCTCCAAATAACTTCCTGGAATTGACAGAAATCAGCGACTGTTGCCCCCGTTGGGCCAGCTAATTTTTTTTAGGGGGGCTTCCGTCGAACGAAGTGTCCTGTTGTTGCACAGACACAGGGCTATCATCTGGTATGCATTTGGGGTAGCCTGGTTAAACTCCAGGGGGGGGGGTTGTTCTAAAGACTATGCTTTGTTCTAGAGTGCGGATTTGCTGAGTTTTTGTACGGGGGCTTACTCCTGTCTTTCAAAGCTCAAAGTCTCCCTGAAATTAAGGGGGGGTTGTGTCTGACTGGGTGTCATATTGTTGCACAGACACAGGGCTATCATTTGGTATGCATTTGGGGTAGTCTGGTTAAATTCCAGGGGGTGGGGTTGCTCTAAAGACTATGCTTTGTGCTAGAGTGCGGATTTGCTGAGTTTTTGTACCGGGGCTTACTCCTGTCTTTCAAAGTCAATGTCTTTCTCAAATTAAGGGAGTGGTATCTGGCTGAGTATCATGTTGTTGCACAGACACAGGGCTATCATCTGGTGTGAATTTGGGGTAGCCTCGTTAAATTCCAGGGAGGTGGAGTTGTTGTAAAGTTTGATGTGTTTTTGCACTTTTATGCAGTTTGTTTGTGCTGTTTGCATGCAAGCAATGAGCCACTCTTTTGATAATGTTCCTAGTCAGCAAGCAGTTAAACTGGTGGCTGTAGGACTTGGTTTTGTTGAGCAGTGTTGGCCTAGATTGTTTTTGGGAGACCAGCTTCAATGAAAAATGGGGTGAACTGGGGAAATGGCTTTGCAATCGGTGACACCGACACTACAAACTGCCCCTTAAAATGCCTTATTTTCCAGATTAATGAGGAAAACTTCTCTTTTGTTACCTTCAAGACAGACGACTCAATCAAATGGAAGCTCATGTATTCAATAATTTGTTTTTGAGGTGAGATTTTACTTTTCAAGTAACAAGGGCCATTAGATTACCAATCAGTGCGAAACCTGACATGTTTTAGTAGCCCGGTTTTCAAAAAACCAGGTATAATAACAATAACAATAATAATAAAAATATTACTGATGATGATTAAGATGATGATGATGCTCTCTTACATAGACCTGACTCCTAAGCAGATCTACAGGAAGCATGAGAACGAGAAGAAGAGGCAGTATGCAGAAAGTAGGCCTAGACACAAATATCACGTAAAATCGCCTAAATATCTTTCCGGAAATTGTCAAAAAATGTCTAAATATCCCGAAAAACTTTCTAAATATCTCGAGAAATCCTCGAAACATCTCGAAATATCTCGTATTTTTGTTTCAAAAATAAGCCGATTTTGAATTTCTTAGGCCAAAATTTTCCCTAGCGGGAGCTGCAAAGTATTTTCAGGCTCATATACCTACCTGGAGTTATGAAAACCGGGTTAGCAAACATTTTGTAATTTTTCTCAACTTCCCCTGTCTAATAGCTTGTTTACTTTGTTGTTTGCTTATGCCGTATTTTTTTGGCTTGTCTTGTGGTCAGGGATTTGTGTAGAAGTGGATGTAGATAGAATTACTATCTTACCCCCCCCTCCCCTCCCTATTTTTTCCCTGCCCACAATTCTTTCTTTAACACAAGTGACAGTTATCAGTGTGAAATCAGCGGACGCCTAAAGCTGGTTTCGGTGCCATTTAGCAGTTTAATTTTATATATTGGTCACCTTGAGAAAAGTTTCCCGGAGAGCATCATGTAAAGCTCTGAGATGGGACAAAGTTATTATGATTCGCAGAGTCTGCATCCTCCAATATCGTATTATATTCTCGTTTCATTTGGCCAAACGGATAAATCACCCTGATCCGGGTGCGATAGTGTTCGCTTTTCTTAGGTGACCACCAAGTCTTTGGCCTCGGGAACAGGCTCTTAGGAATCAAATGAATTAGGTAAAAGCAAAATTTCAGGTGAACTTTGACCGTGTGACTCTACATCTGGGAACTTGAATAAGACGAGGGTAAGAGAAAAGACCAGAGGTGTTTATCTGGCAATAGGCTGAGTTTTTCCGAGTTATTCGATGATATTTCTGTTATGTTAAACGTGAGAAGACTATGCAAGGTTGTGGATAGTCTTATCAGTGCCGCGAAAGTGTGTGATTGTGTGATTTCTGCATGGTGTTGACAGCATGTGATCGCGTGTTTGAAATGCAGTTTCGCCAAAATATTCCGTGCCAGCCATTAATATTGTTTCGTCGGTGTTTAGCTTAGCTAATTGTACCTTGGAAAAGCAACTCTCGACTCAGGAAAATTGGATCTAGGTCTAGTTTCAGCGAGCTCTAATGGCATTGCACCAAAGGCCGGTTTTTGCAGATAAGAAGGTGATAATTTGTGCACTCTGTTTCATTCAGTTTGTTGTCTATTCCATGCGGAATCTGTTGTTTATCAGACCGGGAAAAAAGTAGTGTTTTGCTAACTATTTAAGTTGTTCCTTTGGGAACCACTACTCCATTAAAATGCTTGGAAAATCTCTAAGCGAGGATTTTTCTTTCAATGTATTCATTTCAAGTTTCACCATAGGCAGCTCTTCTGTGGTCTCCTTGCTGAGTATTGCTCTTGTTTTATCTTCCACAACAATAAAACACTCACTGAAACGTTTATCTTTGTAACAAAGTTCAGATTCAAACTCACCAGCAGTAGTGAGAGGCTCATTGGATCCACAGGAGTACAGCTTCCTTTCTTGAGATGCATTTTGCCTTCTTCTTCTTCTTGGGTATCTCCCATGTCGCCCTATCAATAACCCGTTTAAGTCGAACCCCCCCCAAGCTCAATGTCAACGGTGGGAACATCTCATCTACTTAGTTTGGAGGGTAAAGGTGAAATTGTCATCTTCGGTGGCCTGACGTTATGTCCCTTCTTCGGTCTACTGGTATTTTTTTTCTCTCTTTTTACAAACTTTGACAAAAGGCGCCACATTTTTGCATTTCATGCAGGTAGCAAGTCTTGCCTTGCGCTCTAGATCTCTGGCTTAATGTCCTTCCACGTTTCCGCTTCGTGAATCATTTTAACTCGACCTTGCCCACTTGACTTTCGGCAGGTTTCATTGACCTTGTGATATCTACAGCCTTCTGAAGACATAGTGGGATGTTGCCGCTAAAATGCAGCGGGGAGTTTCTTGCGAAGACCGTCATTTGACCGGCATTTATCAATCAACTGATCGCGAATTTGCTCTTCCTTGAAGGCACCGAAGTCGCCGAGGTAAGCACAAACTTATCTGCTGATTCTGACTCTTCCTGTCTTGTGTCTTTCAAATGGAACGTTCACTTGCGGCAAAAAAATCGCACGGTTTTGGGATACTGTGTTTCTCCGGCGCTGGTCCAGGGTCGCTTAACGTAATAAAAATGTCTTGTACATCCTGTCCAGCACAATGTAGGGGTAAGGCTTGTTTCTAAGCATCTTAGGTGATATCCTTAGACTCGAGAAAAAACTCAAAAGGATGGCTTCCATCGTCTCCAACGTAGTCCCACGCTTGTCGGATTGCCTGCCTGGGCAATCCAACGAGTTTATGTTTTCAAGCTCAATGTTTACGGCCATCTTTTCTCCGCATATGTCGCAAAGTTTCCTTTTTGTCTTCGTCGCCAATTGTAGAGTCTAAACAACCATAGTCAAGTAGCGGATTGAGCCAGATTACAACAACAAACAAAGGTTTTCTTTTAACCCTTCGTGTAAAATGCATGATACTTCTTGTTAAATTCACGCTAATTGTTACAAGAAAAAGGAACAGGAGAGGAGACGTTGGGCTGATATAAAGTTAGTCAAAAACAAGGCTGAATGGAGAACTATTGTTGTCGCCTTATGAGTAACGGCTCTACTATATTTCATTACTGGAATTACTCCATCACACTGACGTAAAGATTATGCTGGACGTTTTTTGTTTTAGTTTATTTTCAATGTAATCTGTTACACAGTTCGTTGTAAGTTGCTAAAGCTAATATTACTGAGTATCTTCATAACATCTATCTCCTGTGCATCTAGATAGTTTTCTGCGTATCTACAAATAAATAATAAAACGTATCGCGTTAATACGGTGGCCCATATCTGCAAACACAACAAAATATTCCTGGAACACAACAAACACTCTTCCAAACACAATACGCTATTATCTAAACACAACAAAGGTTTATCGAAACACAACACAATGTTATCGTGCCACAACACAGTATACGCGCGAAACGTCCCAAGGGGCGAAGAGCGAGGAGAAGCAGATGTTTTTGCAGGTTACTTTTAAGGTCAATTCGTCGGATTAGCGGAGGTGACCTATGGGTATGGAAGGCATTTTCTACGTTACTTTGACTTTTGTTTAAAAAACGGAGCCCCTTATTTATTATTCCTGTGGATAGCAGTTTCCTAATCTTTACCTCTTCAAATCTTGTTAGTGTTCCCAAGGATATTTAAAACTTGTAGTTGGAAAATCAGATCCTATAATAATAGCAGTCGGAGTTGTAGTTTCCTCTGCTAAATTTGAAAAAAAAAATAAGAGGAAATTCGATCAGAAAAAATAATACAAACATTCCGGGTACACTAGGGCGGCTCGGGACGGTTAATATCAATTTACCAAGTAAGCGTTAAGGACACCTATGTATAAGACAGTATACACATCTTTCTGTTAGGAGAGCTGTCTTCTGGCTATATATATAATGACTTCGAGCCCATGCAAAGAAAATGAGCATGGTTATACCTAGAAAAGTGCTTCTTTTTTTCCAAAATAGCTTGCCGACAAAGAACATGCAATCATGAGAGAAACTCAATTATGTCACGCATCATAAAGAAGATTGATGCCAAGTGTTCAGACGATAAAAACGTGCATTTTGGGGTTCTGCAAGGCTCCATTCTGGGTCCAGTGTTATTCAATATTTATGTTACTGATCTTTGCCTTCGGGATAACTTAGATGTCAAATTCTTCTTGTAGTCAACACAACAATCTACGACTGTGCTAAAGTATCTGACCTGAATAACTGCAGAAACACTATCACCAAATCAGTTAATAACCTAAGTGTCAGGTCTAAGGAGAGTACCGCGACAAATCTGCTCCGATCTGACATTTACGACGAATCCAAAGTTTTGATCCTGATCCTATCCACTCCGCAAATGTCCAGAGAACATCACCTTGTCGAGTATGGTCCTAGCATCTCAGTCAGTGGTTATAAACTCGAAACTTTTTAAATCTTGCAAACTGCTTGGAGTTCACATCAATTAACATCTTAAGTGGGACGATCGCATCAAGCACACGGTATCCGGATGCTACATATAGGCCACTCTATCAGTACTACGAAAGCTGAAATATCTTGCCAAATTTGAGCGTAGACCACAACTAGCAGAAACATTGATTTTGTCAAAACTAGATTATGTTGATCTGGTTTGTTATCCTCCTCCAAAATTCTGAATACGTACGCAAGTTTGTTTCACTACTGTATGTTAAGAACTGTCGGAATGTACTTAAATTCGGATGGCTTCCAATTAATGAGAGAAAGGATTTCAACCTTCTGAAATCATGCTTTAAAGCTTTGAATAACACTGAGACTTGGCCAGATTATCTAAAAATAATAAAACAGGCCAGGAATGTCGCAGGGAGCTGAGCTCAAGCAATTCCATTAGATGACTTAGATTAGCATTCCCGACCGAAAACGGCACTCGCCTTCCAAGATTATAATGTGTCGAAGCTTTTTAACAAAAAGTACCAGAATTTATTAGAAACTGTGAAGATTACAGAACCCTTTTAAGGTAACTTTCAAGAAAGTTTTTATGTGCAGAATGATTAGTTAATTTTACTGTCACTAGCTTCAAATCTGTTGGTCCTACTTCTACGCACTTTTCTACGCCATCACTCTTTTTTTAATTGTAAATAAGGTAATTTAATTTATTTTTAATGTAATTTAACAGGCAAGAGCCACCCCGTGGAACTGTTAAATAAACCATTAATTATTATTATTATTATTATTATTATTCTTAATTATGAGAGACATTTCAAAGATCTTTAACGAATTTAGACTTGTTCCTTTGTGATTTATGCGCAATAATTATACCTGGATTTTTGAAAACCGGGTTAGCAAAAAAATCAACTCATTCCACTACTTGGCAATTTAAAACAATGAAAGATCATTCAAAGGCTAATTAAAAGCCTTTATCTGACGCCGGGTAGTGAGTTAGTCATCTCTAGAAGCATTTCACCGAGTCAAATTTTGAAAAATGACGAAAATTTTAGAACATTTCAGGCCCGTAGCCGGGATATTTTAGGGGGGATGCGATCCAACGAGGAGACGGACCAAGCCAAGCCGGAGGCTTAACTCTCAAAGCGGGGGGGGGGGGGGGGGACTAGGGCGTCCGATACTGCGTTTCGATCCATTCGAGCGTTTTGAAAAACACGGGTTTTTTTTCAAACTTTTAAACTTCAAATTAAAGTGATTTCTTTTTTTTAAAAAGACTGTTGTACCGGTGAAGCCCCGCCTTATGGTCACCTCATTATAAATACGGTCACCTCACAGCCACTTTCTATTGGCCGCCTGGCAAAACGGCTAAACTTTTCTTCTAAAAATACCTCATTAATACGGTCACCCGTTAATACGGCCAAATGTTTTTTTTGCTTCTTGGCCACAGAAAACAGTATACATTTTAAATTATACTCCAAGACAAAGGGCTACACAAAAAAGGAACAATGTGTACCTTCATGTCTTTCAAGCACAAGAGGATCCGTGATCCGTCCCTTGTGATCGGCTGTAAAGCAGCCAATTGGAAATCTAGAACTTCCGTTCCTTGATACGGCCTAATAATTGCGTAAGGTCAACATTGAGCCAGTCAGAACGGCTGTACTTTTCTCGCCACAAAAAAACAAAACAAAGTTAACCACAGGAGTAGGTTACCTTTAGTCAGGGAGCTTCAATATCCTGCAAGCAACGGTGTAAAGCTAAGACTAGATCGAGCATGTCAAAGCCACACAAGGGAACCTCTTACTCACTGTTAAAATAGTAATTCAGATCCAACACTAGTTGGAAGAAACCATGAAAACAAACCCCAAAGGTTAGCGACCAACTTTTGAAAACAAGAAAAGAAAACCCGGTTTTCATAAATCCAGGTAAGTTAGTAACTCAGTCGATCCTCACATCTATACACACCTCTGTAATATAAATACTCCTTAATAATTTAATACAGACTGACAGTAAATCCCGGAGAGATCAAGCTTTATACAGTCTTACTTTGCTGAAAACATAAATGTATAATAACGGGAGTCATTCTCTCTGTTACCAACTTATTTTGCAAACGTTGCGGCAAAACGAGGTGAAAAGTAATGTTGCGCGTTTTAGCCACGTTCAAACCTGTCTTGCAACAAATCAGGTTGTTTCAGGTTGCAAAAATTTGTTGCAGAAAGTAGAGAATAGTTCTACATTTTGCAACAAAATCTGAGCATGTTGCGCGTTTTAACTGCCCAAGGCAAACTTATTTTGCAGCAAGTGACGTAACTCCTGTATATGGCGTGACTCCCGCGTAATTTTATCCAATCAGAAGTCAGTATTCACGCAAATTGCAGCAAGCTTTGTTTGTTGCAAGACAGGTAAGAAATTGGGTGGTAAAACGAGTAACATCGCTTCTCAACACGTTCTGCAGCAATTGGCACATATTTGTTGCCCGTTTCCCCATAGCTTTAGAAACCTCTGCATCTAATACTGGTTTGAACGGGGCCGTCTCCAATCGATTCTTGCTCCCTGAAATATCTAACACCTACCCTGACACGCTGGGCAACATTTTCCTTCTGGGATAACAGGATTCTTGCACTTTGTTTCCAAACACGATATCTCCTGGCAGAGTCTTACGTCTCCAGGTTGACACTGGCAATACTCGCAGTCCTCGGGGTTTGTCGGCCATGTTTCGCCTGGTCTGTACCAACTTTCACCAGGTTTTTTCTCTCCACATGCTGCAAATTAACGGCCTGGGAGTCAGTGATACTTTTCACTGGAACAACACAAAATCACATCACAATGGCTTTCCAGGTTGTAAATTACAACCCAAAAGAACAAGCATTTTCATGTCTCAATCTTTGTTTTTCAGTTGCTTATTTTTTAACCCTGCATTATTAGAGGCAGAAGAAATAGGAAAGACCGGTTAATATCTCGGCTAGTTATAAACCGCAAAGAAGACCAATACCACTGATAAGGGTAATAATTCTTATCCCCTTTTTAGATGTTGATATAATTTTCAAGGTTAACCCGGGCAGAATCCGTGAAATTTTGCTTTTGGAATCTGGAATCCAAAGCTTCGAAATCCGGAATCCAAGTTCCACTGACAAGAAATCCGCTACCTGGAATCTGGAATCCGGAATCCACTGCTTGGAATCCAGAATCCGAGACTGCCTTGAATTTCCTTTGACATGTGTCAAAAATTGTATATTCATCATGGACATTATGCTCTTCAATTCTGGTATGCTACAAAATGGGCAAATAAATCTATTAAAAGGATACATATGGTGTCTGCGTTGGTTGGCTGCATTTCCACTCAGGCGGCCTATAGCTCCCACCTATCATGATTTTCATAATACTGTTAACCCTAACAGCTATAGTTTCCGAAGATAAAACAGTTACTGAAGAGAGTCAATGAAGATGGAAACTTATAAAATGACGGCTGGCTAAAAAGCGGATAGCTTTCTTTCTCTTTACAGATAGAATAGCTACAGATAAGTACTGCAAAGTATTAATATTCGATGCTACGGTACAGACCCTAAATAGCGTCCCAAAAGACTTGGATAAAGTGTTGGCTGCTGTAACTCAGTCTTAGTTCTGGCCCAGTTTTTTACATGGTGGATAAACCTATTCGTTATGTATGTCACTATCCGGTGGGTAAGTATTAAAAAGAGTTAACGTTGCGCTATGCAAAGTCATTTGCATATATGAATAAAATGCCCTGGGGATATGTAACTTATGACAATAAAAGGATTGCTTTGGGTCCACCCCTAGCACTCTACTCTAGGCCGTCGTTGCAGTCGTAAAGACTAGCGACCCACCCTTCCCTCCGTCGAGGAAGTCGGCTTTTGGAGGGCACAGGGACACCCAACGTCAATTTTCGGAAAATGTCTGTTCGAAAGACGATTTGAGATCTAGAATTTTCGGAACATTTGTTGTAAAATTTCTTGCTTGCCTGCCTCTCCTAGGATTTTTGCCCATTTCTAACGGATTTTTACCTCAAAAAGGTCACAAAGGACTTTTTCTGGCTGAAATTTTCGAAAAGGTAAGTTTTGATCGCTATAATTTTCGGATCACTAGACTTTCAGCTAGGAAATTCGAACAGAAGAAAATTTTTTAGGTGAAAAAATTATGGCCATATCTACCGTTTAAATACTAAAATACGTTTAACAATGCTATGTTTAAGTGGTTTTCAACTATATTCTCGTTGGGTGCCCCCGAGGGCAAATACCAATCTTTTTCGTTTGGTTTGGGCTTGTACCAACAGCCAGATCGGAGAGCGATTCTCCAAACCTTATTTACATTTCATGAATAACAATATAATACCCAGGGCAGAATATTATACTATCCAGTGAAGGGAATCGGACCTTTTAAACAATTGGGGCCCTGTTTCATACCTTCAGTTTCCCTATAAGAGATGAGCAAACCCGTTCGTTATATCGTCTATTAATTAAAAAAGAGATCCATTATACTGTTTAGTTTATTAAGAGGTTAAGAACCTTACAGGGAAGTTTGCATTCCGGACAGCAACTTCCATCCGGAAAGTGATATTCATCGCAGGCCTTAAGATCAGTGTCACAGTACCATTTCTTTTTACAATCGAACTTTCCTTGAGAACACTTGCAAGCTTCACAAAAGGCGTTCTCAATGTTGTCAGTGGGCTGGTACCGATCTATTTGTTCTCCTTCTGAGTATGATTTGTTTCCAAACCTGCACGGTTGAGACGGGATATCTGTTAAATAAAAAAGCAGAAATTCCTTTGGTTGTCTGCACCGCACCTTAAAGGCAGGACGTAGCATCCATATACGCACAAAACCACAAAACGCCCGTGCGTACAGCTGAAATCTGGAAAAAAGATCAATTTTATTTCCTGAAAGCATTTTTATTATTCAATCGGGATGACCGATAAGTTTCTCGCGTTATATTGGTGTCTTTATTTTAGGATAGTATTTTCTTTATCCTTTTATTATTCCATAAACGGACGGCAAGAAACGTTATAGTGTGATGAAAAACGAAAAAATTTACCCTTCCCTGCCACATAGCACTAGAATGCATAAATTTTTCCAATTTAAGAGAATCCGAAATTCGGAATTCGGAAATTTTTGCTTCTGCCTCCGAAATCCTGGAATCTTATCTAAGGAATCCGAAATCTTGGGAATTGGAATCCGAAACACAGCCTACGAAATCCGGAATCCCACTAATGATTGGAATCTGGAATCCAATAATCACAAACAAACAATCCGGAATCCAAGGCGTTGAATCCAGAATCCAAGACTGTCTAGGGTTGCCTTACATAGGGCAACATAAACAAAGCATTTGGATTTAATATTTACAAACCTGGTTTTTTATTGTAATACATGAAGACTGAAGATCTTCCTCCAATTTTTTTGTTGCAGCTTTTCACTCTTTTAGCGTTCTTGATCTCCCCTGTTACGCACCTGTACTTATTGTTGCCTTTTTTTCGCTTTATTCCAAAGAAATGGTGTCCTTTCTGCTCAGAATTTTTATTGCAGTTTTCCATCACTATTGATATATCTTTAGATGTATAAGTCCCCAAACCTTCTCTATTCTTTATTGTATTTAAACGATAGCAGCCGATTTCCTTGAAATCCGCTGGCACTGAAATATCATGAATAAATACAGTGCATTAGAAACGTAACAGGGAAGGAAACAGCGAGGAAAAATAACAAAATTGAGAAGAGGACAATAACCGGACATGAATTAGGATATAATTTCTTTTTCATTGTTTCCAGCACTGTGCTATGCTGGAGGACGACAACGATGTGATGATGATGATGATGATGATGACGACCGTAATAATGGTGATTATGTAGGATAAAAAATATCAAAAACGAGAATTAAGTCCAAAGACTACTGCAAAGCTGATTCATAACAACGTGTATTGTTTTTTATAACAATATCTCGGCTGACCATACCAGCCTTCTTCAGGTTTACAGATGTTACTGAACTTATGTAGCAATTACATTATACAGACGGAGAATGTCGCAATAAAAATTGTTTAAAAGGGAGAGGCGGAAATAACGTACAACACAAAAACTGGAAAGGAAAAATACTAAGGAAGTGGATTACAATAATTCGTCACGGTGGTTTAGGCCATGAGGTTCAAGAGTCATGGCCTTATCTATCAAATGCGACTCCCTGGCCTTAAGAACTGAGTCACGTGAACAATGAATTTTCTCTAGTGGGATTAACGGCATGTCAGTATAAGAATGGTTAGAGTGAGAGAGAAAGTGTTCAGAAACAGTAGTGGGTTTAGATTTAATGATAGTTTTGTCGACTGCACGTCTGTGTTCGTTAAATCTGTCCTCGAGATGTCGCTTAGTTTCACCTATATATTGTAAATTACAACGGTTACATTGAACCATGTAGATAACGTTTTCACTTAGGCCGAGTATGAGTTAGGACAACAACGAACAAGGGTGATGATGATGCTGACATGGTATTATTGATAATAATAATGATGGTGAAATTCACAATGCCAAGATAGTGACGGTCTAAGGAGAAAAGAGAAAATTCAAAGCAAGACTGACGCAGCAAAAAATATAAAGGCAGCATTCGCTCATTTACCTTCCCTTTTAGGGATAAGTGAGTGATCATCTAAAACCCTTTGCATCTGTAAAAAAAAGAACAAGTTACTCGCCTTCTGCCTTTGCGACTGTTTGTCGTTCTTCAGTCATGGTGTATTTTATTGTTCTATCGTACTTCACAATTCATACAATATAAAATTAGCATACACTAACTATTCCAGTACGAAAAAATAAATTCTAGACGAGAAGGCATAAAAAGGAATTTTGACAATTAGCAATTATTGAACGAGGCTGATTGTGATCTGAATATTACGCAGATCGAGGAGGGTCTACGTCGGTACAAAAGCCCAATTCAATAATTGTTTGTTTATTCATTTAAAATAATAGATACTTGAAAATAACCTCGATCGATGAACAGTTTAATCTTCATTTGCCTGTTCTTCGACAAATTAAGGATATAAAGGGATGTTTATTCAAGCAGATATTGTGCAAGTAAGAGTTGCTGATCATCCGTTGAGTCACATTTTGTGGTTTTTGCTATCTTTGGGCAGTCGGTTGATAACGTCGTCTCCAGGGCTTTTCGGTTTTCGAGCCTTTTTTGATGATAGCCTGCACTTTTTTCTGAGGCATTTTATCGAATATCACAAATGTCTTTCTTCCAAATTTTGTCAACGCTTAAAAATATTTTGGATGAATAATAAGGATAACGTATTATTAAATACATTCCCCTAGGCATATTTGTTTCTGTACCCAGAGGACATTCAATGCCATCTATTATGGGTTAAACAACAACGAGACCCACATATTTAGCACTTTGAGGTTAAAAAAAATTCTCAGGTTGGTGTTAATCAAGCCAATATTGAACAGGGTACAGCTATTTAAAAACTTGAAAATTTACCAAGGGCGCTGTCCATTTGTCAACACTCGGCTGGCCGGCCGCACCATTGCCCGACCAGTCAGTTTGAAAATGGAATAGGCTGATCTGGCTGGAGAGTTTTAATTAAAAGGTAAATTATCATTGCGACGGGAATGATCTGGCCGGTCAGTTCTGACAAATGTGACCCTCCACGGAAAAACGCCCTAGGAGAGGTATGAATTGCCGAACACATCAGCAGGAGGTCTATTAGCAAATAGATTCCGTGTTGTCGTGCGTCTGTTCAGTAAATAGGGTGCGTTAGTATTGACGACTTGGTGGCAGCGAAAACGTCACTTTTAAAATGAATTCGCGTGTTTTCCACCTTGGCCGCCTTATTCCAGTTCGCTGAAAATGTCAAATGAAGGCGAATATCCCAGGAGTTGATTTAATGGGAACTACAAGCTTAGAAAAATTCGTCGTCGCTTGTTTACGTCCTTTAAAACGTGCAATAGGGCATTTTCGCTACGCAGTCGTGTAGTGACGACAAAGAAATGCATAAGAAAGATCATATCGCAGATGACGTCAAAATGTGGTAAAAACAAAGTTGTTGTTCTACGAAAATAAACCCACTGCTAGCTGTTTTGACGTTCTCGTTGCCGTGCCACCGTTGCCGTTGATAAAGCTTCATACTAGATCACAGACTACGTCAAAATGTGGTAAAAACAAAGACTGAAATGGCACAAGATTGTGTAAATCTCCGTTTCCTCTTTCTGACTTTGGAGGTCTCCTGTTGTTGGTCCTCTAATGTACGGACACTTACCCAGCCCCCATCGGTTTGAAATAAGGCAATTGTAATAAAGTCTCTAACACAAGGAATTCTTATATTAAAACAAGAAGGCATTAATCACTTAAGTCCTCTAGACAATGTGGCTTTTGAAAGGTTGTGAGTGTTTCGTCTTTGCTGGACAAAACATGATTACTTTAGTTCATAAAATACACATACCTTGACCAAGCCAAATGAAGAAATAGAAACTGTGCATGCCACTAAAAGAACAGCGCCGACAAAAGAAATCACCTGCAGTGAAATATAATCGAGATCCATAATTCAAATAAATTATATAAGAATCTGTTCATGCTTAGCGTGCGTATATCGAGTTATGGATGCACGCCGGAAGTTTGGAGAGCACGAAAGATGCGTAAGAGTTGCTCGAGGCACAGCCAGAGCAACTCTAGCTTCTCTAGCTTCTAGCTGGTTACAAACACGCCACAATCGTCGACTTTGAAAGAAAATTCTTTCTGTAAAACTGAGAAAGAAAATTTGCTAATTTATTCGTTAAAGATCAATGGAAACTAAGCAGAAGCAAAGGTAAAAGAGTCTTAAAAGTCCCGACCTCAAGTTAAAATACTCACATGTTCGTAAGAAGTCGTGGAATAGTTTGGATTTACTGACGAAAAAAAGATGTTTATGTTTTACTCGGCGAAATCCAGAAAACTTGTTTATAGCGAAGACGACTGTCATCCTTCTTTATATTCATTTACGAACAATGACTGGTCATTACGGCTTCTTGAAAAGACCTGGCAGCAATTTTTGAGTAATAAGTTTATCTCTTCTTATGTAATTTGTCTTGTTATTGCAAGAGAAATTTTCCTAATTTAGTCGGATTGTTCTGTGATAACAAAAGTGCATAACTTTTCGCTATTTTGAGCTTACTTTATAATTAATTTGTTTTGTAAAGGATAAACAAACGTTAAAAACGGAGGACATTTTATACAAATTGGACATTTCCCAACACTGACCAATTTGTGGTCTTTTTCGAGCTGAATGTCAATCTTTACTGCAGACTTTTCAATGATTCGGGCTCTATTATTTGCGAAACATCTTCACCGCTTTTGCTGTTGGTTTGAGTGGCCAGAAGCTCAGTTCCAAAAAATCTAGAAAGTTTTTCATAGCTGCCGTCGATTTCTGGTTACTTGGTACTTAGAATAAAGACACGAAAAACACAGCTGAACACGTCATCTTGAAAAAAATCTTTATTTACGCACCGTCGTACGTAAATAAAGATTTTGTTCATAGCCGCTCAATATAGGACTTATATAGGGAACACGCGCGCTATATATGTTATAATTGATACTCTACCGTGCCTGTACAATGGATTCAAGGGTTTAACTTCAAGCCTCGTGCAAACGGACGCACCATTTCTTGGGAGTTATTGCGTCCGTTTGCACAAGATTGACCGGTTTCAAACTTTGCGCAACAACATGCAACAGGTTGTCCAAACGGACGCAACATGTAACATCCAACAATGTTGGGAGTTCTTGGCCAACAAAAATTGTTACGTCCGTCTGCACGAACGAGGCTTCAGAATAACAATTTAAGGTACTGTATTATGTCGGGGGTATTTGTAAGAAAAGGTTATATTATACTTATAACATAAAGAAAGGTAAACACTTACGGTCATTGTGGTTAAATAATACAGCTTTCAATCAGGGAAAGGTGAGGCGGTTTTGAGGCCTGAAATCAAATAGTTCAAGATTATTTCACATTTAACAAATTTATTAAAATAACTTTGATTTAAAGGTGGTAGCACTGAATAACAAAGTAAAAACAACGAGCAAGTAAACTTTTGGCCCTCTATCCAAAATTACAACAAAAACAAATTCCCATATACCTAAAGTCTAATTGAAAAATAAATACAATCTTAAAACTCTGCTTTAAAGTATGCTGAGTTCTGCTGTAATCTAAATTAAACTTTTCAAAAGACACTCGACTAGAGTTCTAGCTAGTATTGTTGTTACCTCTCTTAAGCGGCCATCATGCACCTGATATACTTATGACATTCTTTCCGGGAATCAGTATGGATTCAGAAAACATTAGTCTACTGCACATGCTTTAATCCAATTGTATGACAAAATCTCAAATGCACTTGATATTTAGGCCTATTCTTTGACCTATCTAAGACCTTTGATACAGTAAATCATGAAATTTTGCAATTTTAGAACATTATGCAGTACTTGGTATTGATTTACAATGGTTTAAAAGTTATCTTTCTTGTCGAAAACAAATTGTGCAATATAAATGGTTACACTTCTTCATCATTGGATATTACTTGCGGAGTCCCTCAGGGCTCTATCTTATGTCCCCTGTTATTCTTAGTATATATTAATGATGTGTAATGTACATGTATTAAAGGTCTTTACAGCTGATATTATTTCCTGATGACACTAATGTCTTCTTTTCGCATACTGATGCTTCCTATCTTATGGAAATTGTAAATTTAGAATTGAAAAAGATAACATGTAGTGACACGCCAGGTGCATTCTTATGGCACTAGAAGTTCGGAGCTTTTTTATTTACCACAAGGCGTGAATAATATAAGAAAGTTCTCTTTAACAATTGACCACAATTTCCTATGGTCTACACTCTTATAGACCATATAGATGACGTGATAACATGTTCAAAACTCAAGTGGAACCACCAGCCGCAGGCGAGTGGTTTCACTGCAAAGTTTTGAACATTCTATGGTCTATAAGAGTGCAGACCATGGAAAATTGTACTTGGTTGGTTGGTGGTTGTACTGTAGTTAGTTTTTGGGTAATGGGTGGCTTGTTTTAAAGGTAAAATGAAAGTGAATAGTTCTGGCCCTACACCACACGTTCAAAACTTGATTATCAATCTCTTGTCCAGTTCGATAGTCGCCTTTGTTTTTTTTGGTCCGCCTGCCAGTATGAAGTCCCGTCTCGCGTCAGAGACTTTCAAAATGGCGATCAAAGTGTTCGGATAAAAATTTCGATTTTATCACTGAAATACTCTTCCGATTTCTTGGATTTAGAGATTTTAAGGTCCCTATTGTCATAAAAAAAACTAGACTTAAGTACTATTTTTTTGGAATGAAATGTCCAGTGGTGTAATGAATTTTAAAGATTCCCATCTATCGACGAGCAAATTTTGCGGGCAATCATACCGACCGGTCACACTTTTGAGGGCTAGTGCACAGCAAGATTGAGGAATTTAGACACAGCAATAGGGGGTTCATCAAAGGATGTATTATACTTTACATTGTGTGCGTATTTTCAGATCTTCAGAGCAAGTTGAACCCCATATCAATCCTCTCAAAGTTCGCTTAGCTGTAGCGTTGAACAAGAAAGCTATAAATGACTGGTAATTGTGAGAGATTGTGAGCATTAAATCTTGTTGCTTTACCAAATTCTATTGGGCATACACCTGTAATTCTGTAATTAAATCCCAAAAAACAATAAAAGGATTCTTTTAGTTATTTTTTTTTTTTTTTTTTTTGGGGGGGGGGGGGGCAAACAGTGGAGATTTTAGGGTAATAATATTGATGATTAAAACGATGTACAAAAGGCAAGTTTAAATTTCGCCAGTGGGTCACTGGTGGGTGTTGGGTGTAAATTACTACCGTTTGTGGTGTACTGTCTGTTGTTTGTCATGATGTCAACTAACACTGAAAAAAATTCAGCTGTTTCAGAGCAGGGACATGTCTTGACAGCTTAAGTTTTTTTTTCCTTGAAGTAAGCTTAGTCAGTATGCAGATCAAGAACTTTTGAAATCTCTTTCCCAGAATACAACTCCGGACTTAAGCTTTATACCTGATCCAAGTGCATAACCAGCAGGGTCAGAAGTAAGAATAACGGAAAACAGGCCAAAAGGAAAAGTAGTGTTAAAAACAGAGACCAAACACAAAAAAAACGGCACGACAAGGAAACAGAAAACAGCGTCACGGTCGCCGGGAGTCGAACCCAGTTGATCTGCAAGCAGTACAAGCAATTCCTTGACCACTGCACCACAGTGACACACATTGTTTCAAAAATTAATTTTGTCATATCTAAACAATTTTTCTCTGCCATAGACGCTGTTTGAAGCTGGTGGAGCAGTATTTATCGTGAATTCAAATATACATTTGAGAAAAATTAGCTTAAGCGCGTATTTCAAAGCTATTTCGCATTATTTCGGGCTCAACGGGCCTACTCGATGAAGATAATCGATCAAACTAGCTATATTGGATTTGGTGGAGAATTAGGAAGGCTTTAGGAGTTCAACAGAGGCCCACACTCGAAAGGATTGATATGAAGTTCGGCCCGTTTAATTAGCAAAAGAATAGATGAAATATAAACATGTGTGATCTGTGAACGGAACCTCCTATTCTGGAGACTAGACCTTGCCTTTTTTGGAGAAAAAAAAGGATTAAGTTTTGATGACCTTGCTAGTCCAAAATAAATTAACAAAATTATACAATTACGAGCACAAAATATCAAAACGGTTTACTCAAGCAGATTATAGCAACACCAAAGCTCAGCCCACATTCGATCAAATTAGCGATATATAGCGATATTTGCTAGCTTCTGAGCTTTTCCTCGACCTCGCTCGTCCTAATAACTGTCGTATCCCTTGCTACTTTGCACAAGCGACCCGAGCCTCTTGCCCGTTACCTTGTGACGTCATACTGGCAGGCGGAGTGGGTCAAGAAACTTAGGTGGAAAACAATAGAGTTACCTCCCCACCCGACCCCTTGTTGTAACATTAATCAGTTACCGTTTATTTGTAACTGCCAAAATCGCACAAATTCAGCAAATTTGACTGTTTTTTAAAATTCAATTGTTTTCAAAACTGGGGCATGTTTGACGACCTCGAATTAAAACTTCGTCACTGCGTCTCTGGAAATACTTTGTTTGAATCTTTGACTGAAAAACGTCCTTGGTTCCTTTACAATCTTGGCCTGCTTTATTGCATTTGGTCTTATTGGGAGCTTAACAACTAAAATATTGAAAAAAACGTGTTAACAACCTGCTAAGGAAGCAAACCATCATTTTTCAAATTGATTGTCTGAAAATGTTTAGTGCTACAAAGAAAGTTGTTATATTCCTAGACTTTCACTCAACTAAACAGGGAGAGCCATTGGCTGATTCTTGGTCACATGACCTTGACTAAAATCAAATGTATCCCGATCGTGATAAATTAAGCAATGTAACCCGCTCGGCATACATTGCAGCACGTGATCAAAGCATGGTGAAAAGTGACATGACAAAAGACGGGAAAAACGCTGCCAGTTTTCTTTTTCGTGAATGAGCACAACAACACAAACATGAAGCCTCAGCTAAAAAGCAACGATTTTCAAAGTTATCCCAGAAGAAAAACAGCAGCTAGTGGAGGAAAAAGATGCAGATAATATAAGGAAAGTACTTTGTAAATCATTCATTCAGTGGTTTTGAGAATTAAATTTGTGTTCTTATAAGTACCGAGTCGACTGTTTTGATTCGCTCCGCTTAAGTGTATTCTTTAATTTTGTTGCTGTTGAAGTACGCTGAAGTCAAATTCTAGAAATATAACAAAACACTTAATGTCAGGTCCCTCGAGAAAGCAGTCAGTTTTGTTTTCCCTCGAATCCTGATGTTTCCGTCGACTTCGTCTCGGGAACATCAGGACTCGAGGGAAAACAAAACTAACTGTTTCCCTCGGGATCTGACATTAAGTGTATATTATACCCTGGCCAGTAATTTTCTTCATGTCTTGTTACTTGACGTATATTTCTTCGCTCAGAATTGTACTAAACAAATGCTATATTACTCCAATCTTGCGCCCACCTGCTCATTGCGAACTCAAGCAAAGAGGTTTTTGAGCGACGCGGAAGAACATTTCACTATACAGGTCAATATCACCAGCAACAAAAGTATCTGAAAGGTGAGTAATAACTGGTAACACAGACATCCCAGTTTCTCATTGAGGGCTGAACACAGATATCCCAGTTTCTCATTGAGAGTTGAACACTATACATAACAGTTCCTCATTGAAGTTTGAAACAGACATCCCAGCTTCTCTTCGAGGATTGAACACAGACATCCCAGATTCTCACTGAGTTGAACACAGAAGACCCAGTTTATCATTAAGTTGAACACAGACAGCCCAATTTCTCATAAAGAGTTGGAAGGTGAAAGGTGCCTCACCAGAAAACCGTTTGCGTACTGGCCTCCGTTCAAAAATTAAGAAAAGATTTTAAAGAGAGGGAATACTGACTGCAGACGCTTCGAGAAAATGCCGCCAACAGAATTTGCAACGAAAGCGATGAGGAGAGGCAACGCTCGAAGTTTGTAGTCAAATAAATTATCTTCTTTGATGCAACGATAAGACACGATCTGTAAAATTAAGGTGAGGAGGATCTTTCCAACAGACTGAGGACAGCCGATCAGCCCTTATACGATGAACAACAATGGGTTTTACAATAAGCTTTAGTTTACAATGAACAGTTTAGAACATCGATAATGTGTGACATGTACTGGAGAAGCCTTACATTGGTACTGACAAAGTCCTTACTTAACAAAATTTTCGTTTACAATTTTCATTAAATTTACTTCCCCAAAACCATCTCAAGTAAAAGATAATATGTATGTGCTTATATCCATAAACACAACTGAATCCGAGATCCTTTTTCAAGCCAGGACACTAAGGGTTCATATTTACTCCAACCAAAAGGAGATTGAGTACGTAAATCTCACCTTCCAATTAATATTAGAGCCAGTGTTGAAACCCGTCCTCCCATCCCCTACATTTTACCGCCCTCCTCCTCCCCCAGGCGTTGCAAGGTTCTGCGATACACGTATTTCTAGTTTAAAAATTGATTTCGGGTGATTAATATTCGAAGGTTTTGCCCTACCTTCATTGGAAAATACTATTGGAACGATCTCCCCCTTTCTATTCGCAATAAATCATCGAAAATCCTGTTCAAAAAGGCACTTAAAAAATATTATCTTGCTCAATATTGACTTGTGTGCGTGCGTGCGTGTTTGTGTTTTAATGAATAACAAAACTACAAAAGAATAAAGTCAATCTTGTTAAAGGGCCATGATTAGTTTTACTATGATGTGCCCTTCTCCATTCTAATTTTCTTCTTTTATGATTATTATTATGTACACGTAGTTTAAGCAACTTTGTACCAATTGATATTGTACAACTAATGTATTATTGATATTGTACAACTATTGCATTATTGTACAACTAATGTATTATAGAGGGTGTAAATGGGGTTAACCGACTAACGACAAAGGGCAAAAAATATTACCGACTACCGACAAAACGCGAAAAAAATTACCGACTACCGACATGGACCCACATCATCTATATTTTTTTCAGAAAGAAGAGTATATTGTATTTTTCCTACCTTTCTAGGAAGTAACCCAAGATACCACGTCACAAGTCTTTTTACAAGTCAATACCACAAAACGAGGATATTGAAATCGGTTTGCAGAGCGTATGCCAAAAATTTCTACAACCCGCCTAGTCCTAAACATTATATGCGACAAATGCTTAAATTAATCCTCAAAGAAAATTCTTTCCCGTTCAATGGAAAGCTCTACCTCCAAACCCACCGTACCGCGATGGGCACAAAGACAGCAGTTTCCTCTGCCAACATTTTCATGTCGTATATTGAAACACAAAGTCTAAGCAGCTAAACCGTCTTTAAACCAGACATAGTAACTTTCTTCGAAGAAGCAAACTTGAATGATCCTACTATTAAACTCACCACCGAAATTCACTGAGACAATGTTTTTAGACACAGTTGTATACAAAGGCACACCGATTTGTCAAAAGAGTTTGAGGAAAGTGTTTCAAAATTCAAAAGAACGCTTGATGGTTGATGATGTACAGAGGCTACCAACACAATGTGAAAGACAAATTGCAATCAGAAATAAATGAAACTCACAGAAACCGAAGTCCGCGCTCCTGAAACAAAACCGAGCAAGGAAAGAAAGGAAATGTTGCCTTTCTTCACATAAAAGGGAACTTAAGAACTACGACGAAGTTCACGACGACGACGTCTGTTGACTGGGAAAAGACTGGAACGAGAACGTCAGTTTCGGCAGGAAAAAAGAAACTTAAGATGCAATCGGTCGGTAGGTCGACGACGACGACACTGAATGTAAACACAAATGTAAAACTGTGATGTTCGTTCGCAACAAAGTTTTTTGCAATGGCGTCTTTTAAAACAATGCAAGGTCTAATTTTTAAGCCGTACGTCTAATTTCATTGACGATGGAGAATTTTTTGTGTTGTCTGACTTTTTCGAGTGGAAAAACATCTGCTTTCCGCACAAAGATTATTCAACTTTCAACCTGAATGAGATGACCGAGTCCGAGTGTCTGTCAGAGTTTAGATTTGGAAAAAGAGACATTCTGATCCATATAAAGTTTATTTCCTCTATATTAAAGACATATGATTTGCCTTACCTAAACAGGTACAAATAAATTTCTCACTTATTCAATAACATCACGGCTTAACTGACAGACGACCATTAACGTCGCGACGTAATTGACCAATCAGATCAATAACCAGAGTATAATAATATCAACTGACGTAATACAACTCACTTTGACTCTGAAGATGACTACCCCACAGGTTGTCGAAACGTCAGTCACTGTCAGCAACAAGAGTCCTATTCAGGACTACGTTCACCCGGACGATCAAACTCAACCTACTTTTGAAATGACTCCTGGGTTCAAACCTTTCACAGTACACTTTTAGTCGAATTTTCAATTAACATCGCTCGTTACGAGAAAAAGGCAACGATACCTGGATTTACGAGGATAAGAAAAAGCAAAGGACTTCAAAAATCGCTTAAAACAGTGGATTTATGCACCTATCAATGTAAAGCCGGCGGGGGGTGGGGCGGGGGGCGGGGAGGCAGGGTATGGGGTGGGGATTTGCTTGTCTTTGTTGGCCCTGGGGTAGGGCATTTGACTGATCTTGTTCTCCTAGGGGAGGGGATATTTGAATCTTTCTTCGCCCGACGAGGAGATATTTGACTGCCGACTTGGGCGAAAAAGACTGCGACGGAACATCTGTTTCCCACTTCCACGCTTCACGCATGCGCCGTACGGTTTGAAAAGATCGGGAAGTCATGGAGGCCAATGAGAGCAAGCAAAGGCTGAGTGAATTTCACTGTTTTGTGTTCAAATTTCGTTTGTTTTCGCGTGTTTTTGATCAATTGAACCTCTTAAAATACTGTGGAATCAAAGTAAACGAAAGTAACGAGAAACCAAGTCGATTTTTGCAAGTACAATTGATTAGTGTATGGCTCATTCGCTATAATCAGTGTAAACTTACGAAACTGACTTTTTTTTGTACCCTTTACTAAGAACGGTATATTTAAACTTACAAAATGTGGACTTTCTCCTAAAGGTTTATGTATTCTACGCAGTGTAACACAGATTATGGTTAAAACGTATAATTGAAGCTGTCATAGGAACATGTATCTTTGGTGATGCAGTAACGTTTATAGAAGATTGCAGAGTTTTATTTGGAGATATTTTTATTGTGCCTTTCTTGGGTTCTGCCTTGGGATTGACAGCAATGTGCAGCCTAGGGTGGGGAAATTTGGTTGCATTTGACTGGAATGATTTGCCCGTGGGCAGGGAATTTGATTGCAAATTTTTGTTTGGCGTCGTCGACGACACCACGACGACGAAATTTACTGGTCGCGCTTGCGCAGTACACTGTAACTGACTTCTGGTCGTAAAAGAAGCTTTAATGGAAAAGTGGAATCTCATACAAAACCAACCGCTACTTTGCTAATTTTTTAAAGAACCACCCCTTATTTCCTGAAAGAAAGGAAAACCATGGCAAAGAACATGCTTGTTAGAGCCAAAATATTAAAGGTCTTTCACGCCAGTATAGATGTGCAACCTGTCACCCCTTGCAGTTTTTCACCAAAAATAATTTACGTATCCAAAAGGTTAGACTGGGCGTTTCCCTCTGTGTCCAATTAACCTCTCTTCATTACTTTTTATGGTGCCCTGTGATCAACAGGGAAACCAAGTTCGCATTTGCAATTAACGCTTTGGTGAAATACACTATCATGTTGCATAATGAAGTTTAAGTTCAATCAAATGATGCATTTTTACAAGTTTTACATGTTTTATAGGGATCAAAGTCTTGAAACTGATTGAAACACATAACAAAATTAATAATTAACAAGCATTTTTACTTATTAACTGAGATTAAGCGACAACCGACAAAGATCGAGATTTTTAACCGACTACCGACAAAGTAACTAAATTTTAACCAACAACCGACAAGTGGACCCCCCCCATTCAGACCCTCATTATAGGATGGAGTAAAAATAAAATACAAAAATACAAATTCGGGTGATCGGCCATCACGCATGATTTGAAAATTGTTTGAAGAACCTCAATAGTTTCAAATAGGAAAGCGATACTTTTGAATTACCAATTGAATTGAACTGTATTCGATAGTAAGTAGACATGTCTACTTTATTTAAGGTTTTGTGAGACGCTGTCTGATGGTCTGTAAAGACTGACATTGTTACTGAAACACAAGTTCTCCTAGGTAATCTAACCTTTAACATCTTATGTATTTTTTAATGCATTGGTCAACGTCGCTTCCGATCAGCCAAATAATCTCACAGTAAACATTTCTACATGATGGTTGTTAACTGGACATTACAGTCTACGTCTTTGCCACTGCGTTTTCAAGAGGAACAGGAGACGCTCAATAGGACGGTTTATTTTTAGCGTCCACTTTCTTCAAATAAGTGAACTTCCAGCCGCTGTTTCCTGCTATGACCTCTGGTTTGAACGTCGTGAACTGAGCTTAAAACTTTTTTTTATATTCTTGTTTCTTTTTCTTAAATGACGAGAAGTGATATATGTTATTTGAATAACGCAGTTAATTTAATTAAATTTTGGACGTTACTTTTGTTGGAGGGCAAAAAATAGAAAAAGACTGACTTTCGCTTAACAATGAATGACGAATAGAAGCATCTGTACTTGGAAATGCTACTAAGTAATGTTATGTGAGCAACATATTCCATTTCTTGCCTTTTACTTTCCTTAGATTTGAGTTGAAGTGTATACCCTTGATTTTGAGATAATATCACTAAAAATTGTTGTTTTTGTTATTTATACAATATTAGACCGCATTTCATCAGTTAAGGTGACTCGACCCAGTTTTTTTGAGGGGATACCATCCTACTTTGAAGCTCTCTGGTATCCCCACCTTTACTTTTATCGTAAGTCTAACACATAGAATGGGTAACATATAGATCAATCTACAATATAACATAAAATTTTTGGCGATCGGAGTAAATGTCACGTGGTTATAATGCCACGCCCCTTTGAGGTCTGAGTCGAAAATCTGCTGTTGCCGGCATTTTTTCGTGAAAATCTCTCGGCTACACATAGTGCGCATTAGTGCATTGCGCTGAAGAGAGTTTCACCGAAATCGCCCAATTCGAGAAATTCAGCGGTTTCCAAATTTAGGTCATAATTTATGCGAAAATGATAAGCAAACTTTACACGGATTATATCTAATAAGCGATGAGATTCATCCCTTTATTTTGGGCATCGTTATAACAGATGGGGCCTTGCAAGTCAGCAAAACACTTTAGGGCCTTGTAAATGCGCGCGATTTCGAGCAAAGCAAACATATAGAAATTATAGTTTTCGCTATTTGTTGACGTTTGTCAGCGTTTAAGAGTCCTTCTCACGAAAAAAGCATTTTCTTAAAAATTCGTAGTTTTTTTTCCTTTAAATTTTTTCAGGGCCACAATTGATTAACTAACTACCCGGACTTTGAATTTCATGGTCATTGAAAAACTGTGACATTATCTTCTATAAGCCCAAACTTGAGTAAACATTGAAGATTTTTAGCGTGGCTGAGTTTGTGCTTTGGGAGTTGTCTATTGTTTCTAGTCTGTCATTATACAGCATTCTTGTTCAGCACGCGTGCAATGACCACGCTTGGCTGACTTCCGAATGCGCACCAAGATATAATAATTTTGGTACAGTGAGACAGGCCATCGCGTGATACATAGAGGTTTAACTAACAATTTTTAATCAATTCTTGTGCCTTTGCAAAAAAATCAAGAAGTGCTACGCACTAAATCTACTTACTATTACAAAAATATCATTTTTTCATAGGTTTAATGCAAGCCAATAATTAAACCAACTCGTGACGGGAATATCTCGGTGAGCATTCGGAAGTCAGCCAAGCGTGGTCATTGCACGCGTGCAGAACAAGAATGCTGTATAATGACAGACTAGAAACAATAGACAACTCCCAAAGCACAAACTCAGCCAAAACGCTAAAAATCTTCAATGTTTACTCAAGTTTGGGCTTATAGAAGATAATGTCACAGTTTTTCAATGACCATGAAATTCACAGTCCGGGTAGTTAGTTAATCAATTGTGGCCCTGAAAAAATTTGAAGGAAAAAAAACTACGAATTTTTAAGAAAATGCTTTTTTCGTGAGAAGGACTCTTAAACGCTGACAAACGTCAACAAATAGCGAAAACTATAATTTCTATATGTTTGCTTTGCTCGAAATCGCGCGCATTTACAAGGGCCTAAAGCGTTTTGCTGACTTGCAAGGCCCCATCTGTTATAACGATGCCCAAAATAAAGGGATGAATCTCATCGTTTATTAGATATAATCCGTGTAAAGTTTGCTTATCATTTTCGCATAAATTATGACCTAAATTTGGAAACCGCTGAATTTCTCGAATTGGGTCTTTGCGATTTTGGTGAAACTCTCTTCAGCGCAATGCACTAATGCGCACTATGTGTAGCCGAGAGATTTTCACGAAAAAATGCCGGCAACAGCAGATTTTCGACTCAGACCTCAAAGGGGCGTGGCATTATAACCACGTGACATTTACTCCGATTGCCAAAAATTTTATGTTATATTGTAGATTGATCTATATGTTACCCATTCTATGTGTTAGACTTAAGATAAAAGTAAAGGTGGGGATATCAGAGAGCTTCAAAGTAGGATGGTACCCCCTCAAAAAAACTTGGTCGAGTCACCTTAACATTTCATTGCTTCTATTTTAAAATATTTGCTTCACGAATTGAAGAAATTGCTTAACTCCTAACCTCGAAATTCACTTGAAAATAAGGTACTAAAAGACAATGAGGCTAACCTGTGATATTTTAAGAGGCGAGTAACTCACACCTGTTGTGCCAACCCGATTTACCACGGCGGTAAAAACAGTTTACTTACCAACTATTTAAACGCGTAAGGCTCGGTAATTTGGGACGATATTTGAAAACATGCTATAATGTTGATTTCACTTTCATCAATGCTGGGAATTACTGTTTTGTATTTTGTTAAGCGTACAAGTTATATAGGCTTAGTTGAAAGAATTGGTTAATAAATGCCATGTGGAAGGATAGCTAATTAGTGCGGCGTCCTGAGTGTAAACCAAAAATATTACCGCACTCGTATACTAATGCTTTCATAGTGACTCACATAACACTTACTATAATTATTATACACAGTAGGATTTAAGCCTTTTTAAGAAATTTAAGTAAAGGTCAATGAAAGAGCATCTCAGTCAGAACCTACCTTAATTTTCCTGAAACACGAAGGACAAGTAGACAGTATTCGAATACACGTTGGCAGAGCGGAAATTCAATTATTTATGGAGATTTAGGGACGAATTGAAATTGTTTCTTAGATTTAAAATAACCATGGTCACTAAACTAAGGCTGATAAAACGTATGAATGTTTCAATACACGCGTTGCAATAAGAAGAATATGTATGCTTTTCCATTGTAGATAATATGGATATGAATGGTAAAGAAATAAAAAAATACCAATCTCCAACAATTTTTACCTAATTGAATGAACACATTTTTTGAAGATATTTCATGAAATATATTTTTCAAATATGTAGTATAACTCTTTCTTTTTTCAATAAAAAAGTCAATTGTAAAAAAGATGGTCTGACCTTTTGGCACTATTTTCGACAAATATTAACCGACTTTCAAAAGATGCCATTTTATTCACCCTACTCATCAATACTTTTGAAAAGTTCAATTAGTAAATGTTTACACGACAGCATCAAACTTAAGCAAACCTAACAAAAAACGGATTCATATAAGAAAATGCGAACAATCACTTATAGGACACTACCCTGGCTCCACAGCTCCGTTCTCGAAATACATAACCTGTGCTCACGGTTCGATGAAGCTCCCGAAACGCGAACTATCAACTGAACTATCAGGAATTAGGAAATAATAATAATAATTTCAAAACTTATGAGGCGCAAATATTGATATAAATATATTCAAAGGCGCCATAGGGACTGAAATCACAATAATAGCAATAATAATAATAATAATAGTAATAATGAATACTTATGATAATAAAAATGATAAAATAAGATGATCATATATGTCTGACTGAATTTACGAAAACATGGTTTAAATGAGTGTCTACAGGTCCTATGCTAAGTGCGTCCTTGGTACCAAGACTTTGACCCTCCCCATCCAGGACAATGGGCGATTGTCTGGGCCTCCCACTGAGCTCTGCTCTTATCATGATAATCATTCTCAGCAGTGGCCTGATTCAGCTTGCTAGGGCAAATTAAGAACAAGGTAGCTGCCAGTCAAAGCCTCTACTGAACACTGCTGCTTCACTCAAGGGGTTGTGTCAAAACAGCCCCCTTCCTACCCCACTAGTTTTGACCCCCAGGCCTCATCCACCCACCCACTGTTAGAGCAGTCCCTGGGCTATCCAGCTGTACCGACTAAGAAGTCAATCCCCCTACTTTTTTCGACACTGGACTGGCCTGGAGCCGGCGCCAGGCGAAAACCTAGTGGTCACGTTTTAACGAAATCAGACAGACATATAGAATATAAACTAATGGCTAAAATTTACAAAGATAAAATCTGTTAGCATAATCTTAAAAATTATAAGCTAAAGGCAATTTATAATCTAAGCTAAAAACACAATCTTATAATCTAAATGGTACAAAATGCTTTTTTAAAGAGGTGAGTCTTCAGCTTTCTCTTAAAAGTGTCAAAAGAAATGGATTCCCTGATATATCTTGGCAGAACATTCCATAACTTAGGTGTGGCAAACCGTGAGAAAGGCCCGTTCACCGAGAGTTGCCTTGGGCTTAATATTCGGATAACTAAGTAGGGTACTGTCGCTAGAACTTCTTAAGTTATATTCAGATTCAAGCTTAGGAAAAAAGAAAAAGGAAAGGAAAAAACCTCCAGCACACAGGGACTAATGGCACTAAAATAAAAAAAAAGCAAAAATGAACAAAGGCAAAACGCAAAAACGATAGAACTCACAAATATCTCTAAATATCTACAAACCATAGTCAATCTCTCTTTAATGGTAATATATTCAAACTGAGACATTAAGGCTGTCGGCTCGAATCCTGTAAAACATGCTTATAACTGACATAAACATGATCATGGAAACTCGTATTTGATTTAAAGTTTGATAGACAAGACAAGACAATGTTTTATTTGGAGTCTTAAACAGTCCTATGTATATCGACTTTGTCCAAATAATTTAAAATCATAACACAAATCGCACACTAGTGGAACTATAATCAATGTTAATCTAAACAACTAATGATCTTCTTTTCTCATAGCAGTCGAATACGTATTTTGCAATTAACTTTTGCACAGGTTTGTTGTTACTCGGAGGGTCTATTAACAACAGAAAAACATTATCTGGTGCCATTCTGTTTACTGATATTCTGTATTCTGATACGCAGGGCACAGCGTTAAAAAGTGTATTTCATCTTCTACGTCTTTTTTGATATAACTAAGGTGTCGTCTCCCTTGGTAATACAGGCGACACTCTCCTTGCGACCAATCTCGTAAGCGACCAGCTCTACTTACGAGCACCTTTCTTAAACCCCGTTTGAACTGTGACTTAGACCCTGTTTACATGGAATGGGGGACCCCGGTCTCGTGGGGTAAGTTTCTTTTGTTTTGTGTCCCCCAGACCGTGAAAACAAAAGAAACTTACCCCACTAGACCGGGGTCCCCCACTCCATGTATTAATTAAACTTTGTAATGAAAACCCCTCGTAAGCGACCGCTCACGTAAGCAACCACGACCACTTTTGGTACTACTTAAATGGACTTTTCCTTGGCACCGAAATAGTTTTCAGAAATAAAGGGTTCTTTTCATTGAGCTGTCCGAATAAAATAGTTCTACATCCGAAACTTTTGCTTCTTTATAGTTTATAACATTCTATATAAAGCCATTACTGCAATTACCTGTCACGCTTCACAAACAGTTTTTCTTTTAACCGTTCAACAATATAGTAAACCTAACTCGTAGTTTGAAAGCTTCCCACCCATGGTTTGGGGGTTTTTTAACAGTTTTTTTTTGTGGATAGCAGTATTGGATATAAGAAATAATAATACATTCGCCGTAGCAAACTAATGTATCGTTTTAAGAAATACAAACGAATTAAAAACAGCAGTGAAACAAGGAAAATAAAATGATCGACGGCCACCACTCTAAATCTATGCTTCTTTGGCCACCACACACATCGTATAATTATTGTAATAAACATGATTTATTTTTCTTTTTATGAGCATCAAGATCCTGTAGCTTTCATAACTTTTTATCAGTCCACCCTTTTTTGTAAATAGCGTAAAAAGAAAAATTACCTTAAACCGACTCTGATTTGAAGTTGATAAGAACTTTTGTTTCATCTTGTCAATATCGCTAAAAATAGTAAATTTTTTCTTTTCTCCTGAATCGGCATCAAGCTTAAAGCAACGGTCACCACTTTTTCCCAAATGCAAAAGACAAATTCGATGCTTAGAAAGAAACTTGATTTTTTTTGGCAGTATCCCTTTCGATTAGCGTGTCCAGTTCATGCAATTAAAGTAGAAAAAGTAATTACTTATAATTTTAACCAACTTATGACCAGAAACCCCATAATTGTCCCTATTTAACTAACCTTTCGACAATCTAAAGGCTATGAAATTGTTTAATGAGCCTCCGAAACCGGTAATTTTCTACTTTACTTCCATTTTTTTTGGCAAAAAGTGCGGTTTACAAGCGCGGGTGTCGTTTTGAAATCTTACCGCAGAGCTTGACAGTTTTATAACTGAGCATTATAATTTTCAAAAGCCCCAACAAAACTGTACATTTTTGTACGTTGTTGCTTCGTTTTCTTTCGAAAATAAAACTATTTCAGTGTCTTGATATTTGATGTGCGTACTTCGTGAAAAAAAATTAGGTGTGGACGCTTTTCCAATTTTTCAAACTTGGTTAGGGACAATTTTGTTACGCCTTTTAAGGTGAGAGACAAATGTATTTGTTCAAATTCGCTCAGGCATTGAAGGTTCCTCACTCATTAGTCCAATATTTTGTCACCCAATGTCTCACGGAAGATTCTCACCCTTGGTCAAGGCATGATACAAATTATACGAAAAAATCTCCAAAAATACCTGGAAATCTTTTACAGGACTTCCTTCGGCTGATGCAAAAATGTTGTGACCCTGTCACTGGATGGTCCAAATTGACAATCAGTCAACAGCACGAGCTTCCTAAATTCATTTCGCATGGAGTGTGATCCCCTTCGATTCCTTTATTTGCTAAAATAGAATTGATTTTAAAATATTGCAGGAAATTAGAAGATCGTTTATAATTCTTTGTTTTAATTACGCCGTACATAGAAATCAAACAACAGCAAAATATTAAAATCTAATGAGTTTAGCGGAGCTACTATTGTCTTGATCACCTTATTTTAATTGCCGCCATTAATGGTCTTGTGGACAAAAGCTTTTCGCCCGCGGTCTTTTTTAATTGATAAAAAAGTCTAACAAATTTTTGTCAACATCACGTTATATTAATTTTATTCAGTTGAACACGTTAAAGCTTTACCCTTTTAACAGAGAGCGCCAATTGAAGCTTATTAAAAGTTTTCAAATTTAATTAATATTTTTATGTCTGCTCACTTCTTAGGCAGTAGACGGTCATTACATTGTAGATAAGGCTGAGCCAGGCGGAAAGAAAATTGCGTTTATTAAAAACTCAATCTTCGAATTCCAGACTTGATGGAAAAACATTGAATACGAAGGGCCTTATGATCTTAAAAATAAATAATTGTTTTGGTCACATTGATAGTTTACACATCAATCTGTAACAAAGCATCTGCCTCACTGTTTCAAAACAAAAATGTCCGCTTTAGAAGAAGCGTGAAAATCTCAATCAGGAACTGTGATTAATAATTTTGGCCTCATCGGGTCAAAACAGTCTTAATTAAATCTCTATACTAAACAGTCATGATCTGTGGATGACTTCGATACAGAGTGGAGAGAGGTTTGGCCAGAGAGTTATAGAAATTAACGTCAATAAAAGTACGATAAAGCAAAAAACAGCTTAGAAAAAAACTGGAATAAGCACGAGTAATATTTGTTCATTTTGCGGTGTAGCAAATATAAGTGGTGATGCATATCGCGACGTTTCGACTGCCTAGCGGCCCTTCTTCGTCCAGCGATGAGACCAGGTCAACAGTTTCCAAGTCTGTACTACTTCTGACCTCGCCATGCCTCATCGGAAATGGACGTCAAGACTGTCGATGTTATTGTAAAAACAAATCTAGGACAATTTTTCACGGTCTGTACTCATGCGGACAATAGTAATGACGTTAAACTATCCAAAACTTTGCAGTGGAACACTCGCCTGCGGCTCGTGGTTTTACTTCAGTGAGTACTAGATTTGAACATTCTGACGTCATTTCTATGGTCGATAAGAGTACAGACCATAGCGATTTGCGCCACTTCAGAAACAAGAATGAAACTGGGGCGAGTTAATTTTCGCAAAGCCTTCCGGGGCTGTTACTGAAGAAAAAGAAAAAAAAGGGGCCAATAGTTCAATAGCACTGCCCAGTAACTATCCCAGGAGGCTTTGCGACAGCTAACTCGGCCCAGTTTCCTTCTCGATTTTAAAGTGGTGAATATGCTATTTTCTCATAGACCATAATGCACTTCGTTTAACCCACAAAATTTTGCACAACCATTAGGCATGTTCCGATTGCGTTGGAAAATTTCGCCAAAAATGCTCAAAACATGGCAAAAAAGTGCTCAAGTAGTGATCGAATTTTTGAAAAAGTGCTTGAAACTTCGAAATAGTGCTCGAAAGTTTCTCGTAGTTTTTAATTATTTCCTAGCAGATGTTTATAACTACCGTATTTATTCGATTAACCACCCTGGGCGCTTATTAAATTTTTGGACCTTGAGAGGGGGCGCTTATTCGAGGTGGGCGCTTATTCCAAGCTGGGCTCTTATTAAATTTTCACCATTCTCAGCAAGTGTAGTGGTATATTTTGCAACAAAACAGTAAATGCTAATAACAAATAGCAAAGATGTAACAAAGCAAGGTTTCTGTACAATACCCTGAAGAAAACACCGTCTTTGGGAGGGTCTCTTGTTATCTCTCATTGGAGTTTTTGTGGGAGGAAGTGGGGTGGGGTGGGCGCTTATTCGAGACTGGGCGCTTATTAACTTTTTCTGCCTTTAGGATAGGCGCTTATTCGAGGTGGGCGGTAATTCCAGGTTGGGCGCTTATTCGAATAAATACGGTATTCTTAGATATATTAAAGCTTTAATTCTCGATTTTCTAATAGGTGATCAAAATAGAAGTGAAACATTAATGTGTTTTGTTTTTGTTTTTTGTTGTTGTTGTTGTTGTTTTTTTGTTTTTTTCAAAATCGACTGTTCCCCCGGTTAAAAGGACAATTGTGCATTTCCATGATAACAGTCAAGCGACAAGGTGGAATTATTCAAATTATGATAATAGAATTACTCGGCCTACTGAAAACGTTTCGAAGACAAAAAACTGCATTAAACATGTGAAAAATTGTAAAAAAAGTTGCCCAAAAAGCGAAAAAATGCTCAAATTTTGCTCAAAAGTCAAGAAAATGCTCAATAGTGCTGGAAATGTAAAAAGTGCCGAGCGCTATCTGGACATGCCTAATAACCGTTGTTTCCAATTTCCCCTGGGTGTTACAAGAGAAATCGAAGACAATGGTTATGCAAAATTTGGGGGGGGTAAACAAGGTCTATGTGAAAATGGTGAATAGGCCATTTCCGAGTTCCCCCGGGGCATTTTCACAAGGGAGGTTGTGTACTTGGCCTCATTTTGAAAGTGAGGGTTTTTGGAACTCGGAAGTGGCCTATTGAGCACTTCTACACGCGAACGCCACTCACTCTCCAATTACACAGCCTTCTCGTGGGTTAATACGTAATCTCCGTGGGCTTTGTCCATTCGTAAGCCATTAAAAATACTTAGCAGTATAAAAAGGCGTTTTGTAGCGCCAGCCTTTTCTCGGAACGAAATCAACTCCGACTTACCACATATCACTTTCTATAATGGAAACTAACCCCTTTATTCATTCGCTATTTGTTATGCTGTACAAGTGATTTTAACTTTTTTAAAGTTGGTTGGATAAAATTCCCAAGCGTCATCATTTCAATGAAGGCCTTCGTGTGAGTATTTTCCTGTTTACATTGATTATAAATCTTCCCATTATTCCACTCCATTGAGTACACACAATGACATGTGGTCGAGGCTTGGATGGGCAATTTCATACAAATCGCTTATTTTGTCAACCTAAGCCTCGAGTCGCTGCCTTTGTCTAAAGGAAGGGAATGCTAGAAAGCGTCTTTTTTTGCTGAAAAAGATTGTTCTAATTTCTTTGAAATTCTAAGTTTAGCAAATTTAATTAGAGCCTCTTGGCGCTACGAGTTAGTTTCGGAAGGCATCTTCACTATGTTGTACACAAAAAATGAAAGCAGTTCTATCGTTTCAGTCTGTAGGAAAAAAATGCCCAGGCCATATTAAAAGTAGAAGGGTGTCCTTGTTTACAAAGCACTATCTTCAGCAAATCCAACATTCTCCTCGCCTTCACCATCTTGCTTGTTCGCAGGAATTTCTTCCTTCTTCTCGACATGGGCATTACCGTTAAAGGAAACAGGAGGGACCTTCTCGGTGGAGCTAGACGCGTCCCCAGTAAATCCTGCGTGAGTTATCCCAACTTCTGATACTATCTTTCTTTCGCCCGCGGCTGCTGTTGTTGCCGCTGATACGTTAGCTGCTGCCACTGCTGGGGTAGGTGGAGGTGACTCCGGTCCCATGTCCCAGTATTGCGGATACCATCGTTTCCGAAAAGCGAAATAGTAGACGGCGAAGGCCGCGACTAAGAGGCCAAGAACGGCAGCGAGACAAAATCCTATTACTTCTAACGCGCCTATCGTTTTCCCTTTAGCCTGTATTGAAGTTGTGGTGGGTCCAACACCAACAGTTGAACTTGCAATTTTTCCAGTGGGCTCACGAGACGCTGTGAAACAATAAAGAAAGCAATGTGTGTTTGAAACGAAAGAGGCACTCAAGTCCCAGCAGAAAGCTTAAGTCGTGCCTGGTTTACTAGCAGCTCAAACGTTCATGGTCTGTTTCCACTCGTTTTTTGTTCAACACGTAACAAATAAGAGCTTTGATACTAAGACAAAAAACTGCATTAAACATGTGAAAAATTGTAAAACAAAGTGTTTTAATGTTGCCCAAAAAGCGAAAAAAAGCTCAAATTTTGCTCAAAAGTCAAGAAAGTGCTCAATAGTGCTGGAAATGTAAAAAGTGCCGCAAAAGTGCCGAGCGCTTGATGGGCTCCTGGTTTTGTTTTTGTTTTTGTTGTTGTTGTTTTTTTGTTTTGTTTTTTTCAAAATCGACTGTTCCCCCGGTTAAAAGGACAATTGTGCATTTCCATGATAACAGTCAATGATAAGGTGGAATTATTCAAATTATGATAATAGAATTACTCGGCTTACTGAAAACGTTTCGAAGACAAAAAACTGCATTAAACATGTGAAAAATTGTAAAAAAAAGTGCTTAAATGTTGCCCAAAAAGCGAAAAAATGCTCAAAATTTTGCTCAAAAGTCAAGAAAGTGCTCAATAGTGCTGGAAATGTAAAAAGTGCCGAGCGCTATCGGGACATGCCTAATAACCGTTGTTTCCATTTTCCCCTGGGTGTTACAGTCGTCCCAAGAGAAATCGAAGACAATGGTTATGCGAAATTTGGGGGGGGGGGGGCGGTAAACAAGGTCTATGTGAAAATGGTGAATGGGCCATTTCCGAGTTCCCCCGGGGCATTTTCACAAGGGAGGTTGTGTACTTGGCCTCATTTTGAAAGTGAGGGTTTTTGGAACTCGGAAGTGGTCTATTGAGCACTTCTACACGCGAACGCCACTCACTCTCCAATTACACAGCCTTCTCGTGGGTTAATACGTAATCTCCGTGGGCTTTGTCCATTCGTAAGCCATTAAAAATACTTAGCAGTATAAAAAGGCGTTTTGTAGCGCCAGCCTTTTCTCGGAACGAAATCAACTCCGACTTACCACATATCACTTTCTATAATGGAAACTAACCCCTTTATTCATTCGCTATTTGTTATGCTGTACAAGTGATTTTAACTGTTTTAAAGTTGGTTGGATAAAATTCCCAAGCGTCATCATTTCAATGAAGGCCTTCGTGTAAGTATTTTCCTGTTTGCATTGATTATAAATCTTCCCATTATTCCACTCCATTGAGTACACACAATGACATGAGGTCGAGGCTTGGATGGGCAATTTCATACAAATCGCTTATTTCAGTCAACCTAAGCCTCAAGTCGCTGCCTTTGTCTAAAGGAATGAACGCTAGAAAGCGTCTTTTATTGCTGGAAAAGATTGTTCTAATTTCTTAGAAATTCTAAGTTTAGCAAATCGAATAGCCCCTATGCATGATTACGTCAGAAGAGTAAATTTCACCAACAAGCCTCGTTTGTGAACAAAATTTTTTGCATTTGCACTTTTTGTGCGTGGGTATTCTTTTCAACTCTACTGCCTTGGGAATTCATTTCTGTGAAACTTCGCTTATTTTTAATTTCAAAACGAGGCTTGGTGGTGAAATTTGCTTGTGTGACGTAAACATGCATAAGGGCTATTAGAGCCTCTTGGCGCTACGAGTTAGTTTCGGAAGGCATCTTCACTATGTTGTACACAAAAAATGAAAGCAGTTCTATCGTTTCAGTCTGTAGGAAAAAAATGCCCAGGCCATATTAAAAGTAGAAGGGTGTCCTTGTTTACAAAGCACTATCTTCAGCAAATCCAACATTCTCCTCGCCTTCACCATCTTGCTTGTTCGCAGGAATTTCTTCCTTCTTCTCGACATGGGCATTACCGTTAAAGGAAACAGGAGGGACTTTATCGGTGGAGCTAGACGCGTCCCCAGTAAATCCTGCGTGAGTTATCCCAACTTCTGGTACTATCTTTCTTTCGCCCTCGGCTGCTGTTGTTGCCGCTGATACGTTTGCTGCTGCCACTGCTGGGGTAGGTGGAGGTGACTCCGGTCCCATGTCCCAGTATTGCGGATACCATCGTTTCCGAAAAGCGAAATAGTAGACGGCGAAGGCCGCGACTAAGAGGCCAAGAACGGCAGCGAGACAAAATCCTATTACTTCTAACGCGCCTATCGTTTTCCCTTTAGCCTGTATTGAAGTTGTGGTGGGTCCAACACCAACAGTTGAACTTGCAATTTTTCCAGTGGGCTCACGAGACGCTGTGAAATAATAAAGAAAGCAATGTGTGTTTGAAATGAAAGAGGCACTCAAGTCCCAGCAGAAAGCTTAAGTCGTGCCTGGTTTACTAGCAGCTCAAACGTTCATGGTCTGTTTCCACTCGTGTTTTGTTCAACACGTAACAAATAAGAACTTTGATACTAAGAAAAAATGCCCTTAACATGAAGGGTGCTCATAGGAATGACTCTCTTTATAGGACACACAGGTAACAATCAAGGAATATGTAATTATGTAGGCCCTTTAATACAGAAGCTTGGACCACTCGTACCCGCACTCGCACCCTGGTCTTATAATAACTTATGCACTTACGATCATGGCGCAAAACCTATATTGTGTACTATGGATGAGTCTTTATTGTCGGGATTAGACAGAAAAGAATTTAACAATTGGTTAATGGCTCGACGTGTACTATTGCTTTATGGTTGCAAACAGGAGGTTGCTGAACACGAAAGACGCGTAAGAGTCCCGCGAGGTGATAACCGGGGGATGAGCGTCTCTAGCTTCTTGAGTGCTTAGCAATCCTCCCAAGTGTAACCATTACTCAGTAGTACCACCATGCATGAGCCGCTTACCATTTGTAAAACACAATCAAAAGAGAAAAAATAAAAATTATATTTTCGCCAAACAAGTAGTTTACCGTTATATCAAACGACCGTTGTCAACTCAGTCTCTCAGTATAAAAATATAACATTTACAAACTATGAGGTAAAAACAAAATAAAATCTACAGGAAATTGAGCTTTAAGCGCAAGTATCATGGCTCATCCATGGGCAAAATATAGTAAATGGGTAATTGACCAATCAGAGAGCGCGCTTTACTTTTGTGTATAAAAAAAGTTAGAAAACCATAGTTTTCACTCGATCACACAGGAAACTCGGAAAGAAATCCGAGTTCTCCCAACGGAAGTCAAACCTTCCCAGTGATTTTCTAGTCACAGATATTGGCCCTTTCCTTAAGGACGGGGTATGGGGGAAGGGAAGATGGGGAATTAAAGCAGTTACGGTTTCCGGTACTGGTAAGAAGCTTGATAATCCGCACATACCTGTCGCTGTGATAGAGGGAGATTGGCTAACAGTTGAGTGGACATTCTCTGACCCTGGGGTAGAGGTAAAAGGCGATTTTGACGAAACAATGACTGTACTGGATAAGGGCTGGGCAAGCGTTGATGTTGTACTAGAAACTTGTACTCCTATGGCCGAAGTTACTGCATTTGACAAGGAAGATGACGGATTCGGAGAAGAGACGGTGGCACTTGGACTTGGTGACACTGTTGCAAAAGACAAAGAGATTTGAATTGGTTACCAAAACAAAGTTAAGGTACTTCCCATGAAAATGATGTACTATCCAGATTTTTTCACCACCGCCTTTGATGTTACAATGTTATGCTCAGTAGGTGATACGAAGTGCAAAACAAGGGAATTAGCTTAAAACCCAGCAGTGTTGGAACAAAAACTAGCAAGAAGCCATTCTGAGACATAGTCAACAAGCAGCTTCATAACTAATGTTCGCCTGATATGAATTTCCCTTTTGCCGCATGGTGCCAGCCTTGCATTTATGATTTAAATAGTTTATTTACAAGTTCCAGTCCTCGAGAAGTCTGGTACGAATATCGTGACGAAAAGAGATCCGGCAGGAAGTATCGAGTGAGTTTTATTCTGCATTGTATGGTTTTATGTAACAAGTCTATAACTCGGTTACTGAAGGGGTTAATTACGGTCACGAGTGTACTCTTTGACAGAAAAACAACCAATTGAAAAGCTAGACTACGAGCAGTCTCTCTTTTTTCTTGGTCCGTCAAGCAAAACGCCCGAGACAAGCAAATGACCACGCGCGTGACTGTAGGCGCGAGACGGGAGAGCCACTACCTGGTTTCTCGCGTCTCGCGGCGTCGCCGCTCAACGCTCGCGCGCGCGTGCACTCCATCCCCTTACTAAATCTGAAGAAAAAGAGAGACTGCTCGCAGTCTATTGAAAAGCACTCACGGCAAGGAAATGTTTTGTTCACTATACACTTTCCCCTTTGAGATCTATTTTAGTTTGATTTGCTTTGTACAATTCCGTTTATGAGGAACATAGGAAGGGGATGACGGCCTTAAGGATTAAGAGATTGACGAGGATTAAGACGTAATCCACCAGGAAATTGAGTAATTTTAATTTCAGTGTACATAAACCTTGTACCAGAATAATTTAAAGAATACCGTAAAATTCCGAAAATAAGCCCCTCCATCTATAAGCCCCTCCAAATATAAGCCCCCCAATTTCGTTACGCAAAAAAACCCTCCGTGAAATCGTCCCTCCAAATATAGAAGTATTCCAAGTACAAGCCCCCTCGGGGGCCTGTACTTGGAAATTGCCTTCAAATACAAAGTAAAACAAAGAAAAACGGTAACTTTCCTTCCAAGAATAATGCTATCCCAATCGATTTTGAAACACAAATTTCCCTCCGTACATAAGCCCCTCAAAAAGGGCCTTTGAAAAATATAAGCCCCGGGGCTTATTTTCGGAATTTTACGGTATTGCATTTTTTTATTATTATTATTATTTTTTTTTTTTTTTACATTTTCCAACGGCTAGAGAAGTAATTAATCATCTGCCATAGACACCAAAGGTAAAATTCTGAAAATTTCGTGTGCAAGATGTAATTTTGCGAAATTTGACATTTATTCTTTAAATTATTCTAATACAAGGTTTCTGTCCACTGAAAATTAAAATTACTCAATTTCCTGGTGAATTCCATGTTAAGGTGTGGATTCCGTGTTAAGGTCTTTCAATCTTCTCATAGACTTACGCTAAACTCAGCGTTAGGAGGATGAATCTCTCTTTTGACTAAGAATTACGCCTGCTATCCCTAGCTGTTTGCTTGTGTTTTTTGAAAAGAAGTAATTTTTTCTTTGTTTTATAGGACCTTTGAGTCTAATGCAACGAGGAGAGCACGTTTAACGGAATTACACTTCCACTTTTTGCAGTTCGAGGGTTAACTTTCAGAAGGATCAAAGAATCCCCACATGTGTTCTGTTTGCTCCTTCTTGTTATTATTTTTTTTGGCACCACAATTGAGTCACCGAAGGATCGAGACGATACTAAATCCTGTTTTGATAAGTTAAGAAAAGCTACTGTGGCCCATTAAAATTTCATTAAATGAGCGGCATCTAACATTGCTACGATTTGTTAACGGAAAAGATAACATAGAGAAGACATTAGCTGACATTGGAGGATAGCAGAAGAACTTTGCGAGAAAAAAAAAAGGGGATCGATGTGTAATGCAACTGAAATATGTAGCTGTTTTTCTGATGAAAGAACGTTACTTCACGTAGCACTTTGGAAATGCAATGAATGGCCCATAACCAGGATTTATCTTGGAGAAGGGCGTACGGGCACAACGCCCGAAGGCACTAGTGACTCCTCGGGGGGGAACATACGCCCTCCACAGCAAAGTTTGAAAAATTAGATTGTCAGGTGGTTGTTTTGAAAGCAATCGCATTGTACATCAGGTGAGATAGCGTCGCACTATGATACTAAGCCTTATACAAACTACGTTAAAACTAATTCTGACAATCATTCAGCCAGGTTCATGATTCGAATGCAGTATATGGGGCTCCTTTCACTGGCGACCTTCAATACACATATCATTATAAAAGCCTTGTTGGATTGGTTGCTATTGTTGCTTTCGTTGCTCGGGGTTGCTCGCCATTTCAACACTGAAGCAAATATGTAAAGAAAACCTCTTCGGGAATCTCAAATTGAATGGTTTGGTATCATTAACGAGGCTGTAAAAATAGGTAATTGACTGACTTTTAGTTTGGATTACAAAGAACAACTGCACAACAACTAATCGACAAATCTGTACCAAACAGACAGGCCTTGGCAGCCGTTTTCTACAAGCCTTTACGAATCCATTTGGATTTATAAGTTTAAGCGTTTTTTTCTTTACGGCCTGCTATAACCTCACTCAAGACGTCGAAGTGACGAATCTTGTCTCGGGATCATTTTAAACCATACTCAAAAGATTTCAAAGAGCCAACGGGTGTCGCTGATAAAGGATTGCACGACTTGGCCTTGAATGGTCTGGAATGACGTTTATCAATTATTGAATACACCTAATTGCGATAACGTTGTCTTAGAAAAAGTCAAATAATTTTTTGGGTTAATTAAGCCACATTCCCAGGGTTGATTCATTTGCAGCCGTAGCATAGGCAAATACGAAGTCCATATCCGGATGCTGCAGATGAATTCATTAGGCTTATAAGCCGAATTAATTGACCACTCAAGAAAATACCATAACATACCATATAATGCTCTTTGTTTGTCACCCCAAAATTTTGCATAAGCATCGTCCTCAGTTTCTCTTGGGAGTTAAAACGGCCCCAAGAGAAACTGAAAACAGTGCTTATGCAAACGTTTGGGGTGACAAACAAAGAGAATTATGGTATGTTCGAGTATTTTCTGGAGTGGTCAATCCTATGTGGCTTTTTCTGTTTTTCATTTTTCTCTATGACACCGTTGCAATTGGCTGTATGTCTTTAAGAGATTCCACGCGTGGCACATTTAAATGTTTGAGACGTTTTTATCAAGTTTTTGATTCAATAGTTCCGATGAAACATCAGGGTAGGGTCGACTAGGATATTTGTGCATCCATTCTGTAGAAAATAATATCTAACAATTTGGAGTATACAGCACGTTACGCTTCTCCCTAGAATTAAGGTATTTTGGCAAATTTTTGTGGACACGAACCCCATTTCCGGCCTCATGTTACCCCTAGTAGATTTGCTTCATAAG